GCAATGGGGGTGGTGGTGATTATGGTGATGTCGATGGTCAGCGCGACGACGACGACGACGAGGACGACGACGACGATGTAGTCGGCCGCCCACTTCGTGGCACCACGCTCTGCTAGTGCGCCGAACGCATGTCGGATTGCAATTGTTATTATTCCGGGCGCGCAGCTGCCAGGGCACGCGCGATTGAGCGAAGCCGACATCGCGTTGCGGTGCAGTAGCATGAACAACAACTCCGTCACTTTACACGTCCACCAACATCCCACCACCAGGCCACCACCACCACCACCGCCACCACCATCACCACCACTCACCATTACCAGCAACATTTCAAAACAGATAGAGAGGTGGATCGAGAGATAAATATATAGATATACTCATGGATAGATAAACCAACTTATACACATAATAGATACATATAGCTAGGTAGATGGGAGACAAGAACATAGAACTGTAGGTCGATAGTTTGATGGGCCGCAGGGTAAATAGGCAGGCGCGCGCAGCAAAGCGTCAGCCAACAACCACGCGGTGTGTATATATGTATGTATGTATGTATGTATGTATGTATGTATGTATGTATGTATGTGTGTGTATGTATGTATGTATGTATGTATGTATGTATGTATGTATGTATGTGAATATATATGTGTATGTATGTATATATACATGTGTATATGTACATATATATATATACATAAATGTATGTAATCGGTTGGATGGATCAAATCGACAATCGACAAACCGATGTACATACTGATGTACATATATATATATATATATATGTTTATATGTGTATATATATGTATATAGACACCGATTAGGTTTATAGAAGCAAGCGGGAGTAGGTGGTTCGTCTCACGTTGTGTGTCTGTGTGTTTTCGGTTTGCGGTAAACTTCATTCGTTGCAAATCGACCAGCTCCCCCCCCAACCTCGTTATCACCCGAAGGGTGGTCCTATCGGTATGTCTACGTTTCCCACGGTGCCTGGAACTTTGGAGGATGTGATCCTGGGAAGGGCACTGGGGTGCCCCTCGGGCCTGGGATCCGCGCGCGCTCCACAACAAACCCCAGCACTCGAGCCATAAAACCCGCGGGTGCTGCACTGGAGCCCGTTCGCGCTGGAACCGCTGCGGGATGCAGCCAAGACGGTGAAATGAACACCATTTTGGGCTCAGGAGGGGGTGCCACCGGATTTGAAACATTTTGCAGATCCTTTGTGTTTTTGGACTCTGACCCCGCCGATCTGCGTGAGGGGTGCTACCGAATGTTAGAAATGTGGCAAATCCCTTGTGTTTTTGAACCCTGACCCCGCCAATCTGCGTGAGGGGTGCCTCGGGTTTTTGGGCCGCCCCTGAGATGTAGCGTTGCGTTGCGTTGCGCCCGATCGAACAAGTCGGCCCTGTGCAGAGCTCGGGAGAAAGAACACAAATGCGCCGTCAGAGCTGCACGTCGTCAAACCAACGACGCCGCGGCCGGCCTCTGGCACGATGCGGCCGGCTGTTGTTCAGCGCCGCACATGCAGCAGGGGACCATTCGTGCGCTAGCTTAGGCAGCGACGGAGCATGGTGGGACATCAGACGACTCAGTAAATGCTTCTTGCGCTTTGATACAACCGAAGACCAATCTGCAATGAAGGATTGCAAAAAAACGAAGGATTGCAAAAAAACCCAAACGAAGGATTGCAAAAAGGGTTTTTTTTGCAATCCTTCGGTCGGGTTTTTTTGCAATCCTTCGTGCAGGCGCCTGGCAGATTCGAGCCTCGGCTTCACTCTGCGGCCAGCGCCCGCGCCCGCCGTGGCCGGACAGGCCCCCTCGTTCCGTGTTGTGCGCTCCGCGTGTTGGCCCGACGACGGCACATGGGGACCTGCACGCTGCTCATTTCTGATTCTTCGAGCGTTCTTTGATTTTTTGGGGGGCCGAGGTCCTGCCATTTCTGGTTGTTCTACCCTGGGCCTCTTCCTGGCCACTCGGGGGCCAGGAACAGTTAGAAACGAGCGCAACTCGAAAAATGAGCACGGTTAGAAACGAACGACGCGTACACCTCGCGGCCTGGCGGTCCCCACGGGTCTGGGCGCCGTCTCCCGGCAGATTCCTCCGCACCCGTACGGACGTCCGACGGTCTATGTTCAGCTGCTGCGCGGCCCCCGTTCGAGCACTGGGCGGTCGTTGTGGCCGCTGCTGGGCAGGCTGGCTGCGCTCGATGCGGCCAGCGCGGGCGGCGCGCGGCTTCTTCCAGCGCCCAGCCCTCGTGAGGCTCGCTGCGCTGACGCCCCTTGCGCACTGGCCCGGCCGCGCTCGGGTTGACCTCGGCGCGCCCCCCCCCCCAAGACGCCGACGTCGGCGAAGTCGGCGTCGGAGTCAAAACTGATGGATTTTCGGAATGCCAGGACGCCGAAATCCATCAGTTCAGTAACCCTCGCCTCCCCAGTCGCTATGGAGACGTTCAGGGGCTAGATCGCTGAGCTGAAGGATCTCTGGGTGCGTATTAGGGAGCGCGCCGCTTTCTCTGCTGGACCTGGGGCCCAGGAGGGGTTGCAGAAGCTCTCGCGCTCCCCGCCCCCAGCCCCTCGGACGGCCGCGGGCGTCGGGCGGCGTCGGATCGTGCCTGCGCTCCCAGATCGAGGAGGAGGCCGCTCCTCCTGCCTCCTGGGAGGACCCTGGAGGCCCGGGCACAAGACTCGATATCCTCGAGTTTCGATCCTCCTCCTTCGCCCCGAGGCGCGCACGTGCACCCAGCGCGCGGCCTTTTGCACGCCCCCCGTGCGAATCCAGCCTCGTGGGCGAATCCAGCCGCACGGGGTTCAGGCTCCCCGGGTGGTGCCCCGTCGCTACCGGAAGCGTTGTTCTTCTTGGCGTCGCTCCCGCTGGGCGTTGGTGGTGCCCTCTGACCCGCACTCGGTGTCTGCATCCCCTGAGGTCTGGGGATTGCACTTTTCTTCATGCCTGGCGTTTTCTCCCCGCCTCTAGCCCTGGAACCATCACAGCTCGGCCCGTTTTGAAAAATGCGGCAGAATGATGAGGTCTATGGCTCCAGCCGTGATTTTTCGCGAGGTTGCAGTTTCTTCGCACCTTTGGATCTGACGGGAGCAGGCGGGACCGCTTAGGGCGCGGCTAAGCGGCCTCGGTGGTCGGCAGGCGAATTGTAAGTGCTGACTCTTGGTGGACGGACTGCTTATACTGTCGGAGGGCCAGGGGATGCCGTTGGGATTCCCTTGGGATCCTCCCTCCCTCTTTGGGCTCCAGGGGCAGGAGGTTGTTGCGCCTGATCACCGCGCGACCTCTTCTTGGGCTCTGTATTTGTCTCGCTTTCTGGCTTCCTGATCCTTCGTGGCCGCCACTCTTCTTGGCGTCTCGTAGGGGTTACCCGGCTAATCGAGGACAATACTCTAGAAGATCGCTCCTCTCCTGGGAGTCCTTTCCCTGGGGGGTGTTAGCCGTAGCGTGGCCGGGGTCTGGGCTCATCCCCCCCGTGCCCCTCCTCCTCCTCCTTGTCCCCCCCTCCTCCTCCTCCTCCTCCTTCTCCTCCTCCTCCTCCCCTCCCTCCTCCTCCTCCTCCTCCTCCTCCTCCTCCTCCTCCTCCTCCTCCTCCTCCTCCTCCTCCTCCTCCTCCTCCCTCCTCTTTCCTGCCCTCCCCGTGGCACGGGGTTCCCAGGGCTGCCTCGTAACGGTTCACTCCCCCCTCCTGGGCGGGGGCGTTCTTTTATCGGGTTTGTTTTTGTTCTTGGCTTCAGTGGGCTCTGAGTTGCGTTTATCTGCACGCGTCTATCCATGAGACCTTGGGGGCGATTGTGCCCACGGAGATGTTATTCCAGGTCTGCTCGGTCATTGTGTCCACAAGGCCGTGCTGAGGCTGGGCGGGCCTACGCGCCACGGCTTACATGCCGAAGTTATGACCGTTCAGGCCGGCCGCCCTTCTTGGGGGTCCATGTTGTTTGATTCTTACATCAGCAATAATTATTACTGCCCAGAGGGTGAGGGTTTGGGCCCCTGTGCACCGATTAGTACACCCTTCATCCCTCGTCTGCATATGGGTTTGTTTTCTTTGGCCGCCCTGCCTCATCCTCCTTGTGGTCTCGATAGGGGTTCGGTCTTTGTCCATTGCTTCCACCCTGCGGCTTCTTGTACCGGAGGTGGCGGTTGGGGGGCCCATAGGTCTGGCCGTCAACTTCAACAACAACAACAACAACAACAACAACAACAACAACAACAACAACAACAACAACAACAACAACAACATGATTGTCGGAGGGCGCCGTCTGTGCACTGTATAGACACGCGTTCTTTAGGCTTCGTAGGCCCTGAAGGAGAGACAGGACGCACCTCCAAGCTCTGATGAGGAGGGGGGACTCTCCCCGCTCACTTGACCTGGCACGTCAGACCTCAGGGTTCGTCCCTGTGTCGACCAGGAGAGCCGCAGCTGCGGGAGGAGGGGCAGCAGCAGCGGCGGCGGCGGCCGGTGGTGGTCGGGCCGCCGCTGCCCGAGAAGGCTCGGAGAACGGAGGCTGGGGGCTGGGAGGCTGGGTCGTGGCACAGACGTGAGATTGTTGTTTGATCTTCTGGCGCGCAATGGATGTTACCTGGGCCAAGCTCCTCCCCTCCGCCCCCCTCCCCCCCTGGAAGCGGTAAGCCCCCAGACAACCTTCCCCCCCTCGCGCCTCCCTGGGAAACGGTAATGATCGTAATTACGTAGGGGGGGGCTGGACAATTCCAGCCTTGACACTCGTAGAAAGCAATCTGCGTCTGCAGCTTGCGGCGAGCAAGCGCTAGCGGCTTGCGTCCCAACGTTATGTTGCATTTGCAGCGGGAGATTTCCCTGAGATCTGGGCGGTGCAATCTTCTCACACCTGGCGCTTTCGCTCATCTTCGGGCCCTGGGACCATCACAGATCGATCCGGCTCGAAAACTATGGCAGAATGATTGGGTCTAGGACTCCAGGCTGGTTTTTCGCGAGGCTGCAGTTTCTTTGCGACGTCGGGTCCCAGGGTTGCGGGAGCGCTTCTGCCCCTCTCTGGCCGCTGTGGCGCAAGAAGCGCCCAGCGCTGCTCGCAGGCGGGGCTGCCCCCAGCGCGATGGCTGCCGTCGGGTCCTTCGCCGCCGCGTGCGGAGCCGGCCCAGCGGCGCAGCATGGCACCGCCGACGAGAAGGTGCCCCTCCAGGACCGGGTCGACGCCCTGTCGCTGGAGCTCGAGGAGATCCGCGCTGGCCTCGCCCTGGCGCTGCCGTCCACCGCCGCGGCGGCGCATCGGGGCGGCCCGGAGGAGGCGCCCGCGGGTGCTCGGTCAGGGCTGTGGCGGCAGGCCGAGTCCATCTTCTCGCGGCTGGAGGAGCTGCGGGCGACCTCGGAGGGCCTGTCTGGGCGGGTCGAGCACCTCGCCGGCATCGTGAGGGACCAGGCCAGGCGCATTGCGGACCTGGAGAGGCCCTGCCCAGCCTCCGCGGTGGGCGAGGGCCCGCGGGACGCCGTCCGCCACAGGTCAGAGGCGACTACAGGGGCGAATAGCCCAGGGGCGAGCAGTACATGTATTCAGGCGCGCCGATGATCTGTGTCTTCGAGAAGGCTCCCGGGCGAATACGTGTAATGCCCGCCCCTGGGCTATTCGCCCCTTTTCGTCGCCTTCGAACAGGCCGCTCCAGCCCATCTTGGCCCAGTCTGCGCCACCGCCATCGCGGGAGGCTGTGCAGGCAGGCGTGCTGGCGGGCACAATGCCAGCAGCGCCACCGCCAGTGCGGGAGACGGTCCAGGCAGCGCCGCCGCCACCGCTGGGGGCACTCCGTTGAACCGCCTGCGAACCCTACCCCCCCTTCGGGTCCAGTCAACGCTAGTGGACCTGCCCACAGACACTGGACATCCCTACTTGCCGTCTGTTGGCGTCCTTTTGGCTGCAGTTCTCCTTCAAATTCTGAGGAGGAGGAGGAGGAGCAGGAGCAGGAGGAGGAGGAGGAGGAGGACCCCCCACACCAGCGTTTCCAGAATCCGACCCTGCAGGGGCAGGGCTCGCATGTGGTTGGCCCAGAGGCGCCGAGCAGGCCAGGTGGCCTGGACCGCGCCGCCCCGCGGGGGAGCGCGCGGTGCCGTGCGCAGCCGGCGGCGCGAGCCCCATAACGTGGTCGTTCCACAGCCCTGGGCCAGGAGAGCCCGGGACGAGGCCTTACGAGGCCCAGGGCCCCGGGGCGCTTGCGTTCGCCGTCGTAGACCCCGGGGACGAGATGCTCTTCGTCGGGGGCGGCGCCTACAACGGGGCGATCGCCAGGCTCCTCTCGAGAGAGTGCCGGGAGCCCCAGGACGTGGACCGCTACCTGAAGCTCCACCAGCTGCTCCTGGAGCAGGCCCGCGCGGAGGCCCGTGGCACCCTCGTCAACGCGAGCGCCAGCATGCTGCGCTCGCACGGCGCCCTCGAGTGGTCGGGCTGCCGGCTCTTCGAGGGTGCCTTCAAGAACTATGGCGTGGTCTTCGTCCACATCTTCAAGGCCGCGTGCAGGCCCCTCGGCCTGCACAACGTCGCGCTGGTCTACACGGTGGGTCCCATTGGCAAGAGCGGCTCTGCGCTTGCGAACACGGAGGGGATTGGTGACGTCCTTCAGGACCCAAAGGAGTTCGGCGATTTCTTGCAGGCCACTGCCGAGAGCGTCATCGTCGCGGTCTGCGAGTATCCAGCTGTCTGCGGCAACTCCCGCCACCGTGCCAGCTTAGCGCAGCGTCGAGCACAGCAGGCTGTCACGTGTGATCGGAGTGAGGGGGCCGAACAGTTATTCACCCTCCTTGGGTGCGTGGCTGCGTTCCATGGTGCGGATTGTTGTTGTGTTGTTGCGTTGCGTTGTTGCGTTGTTTTCGTCGTCCTCACCCGCGACCCGCCCAGCGACCCACCCGCGACCCACCCCGCGATCCACCCCGCGACCCCCCCCGCGACCGACCTTGCGACCTACTCGCGACCCACCCACGTTGTTTTGACGAACAAATCGGCGCCTACGGCGGGCTCGTTGCGCAACGTGTGGAAGAATTCGGCGCTTGCGGCGGGCTCGTTGTGCAATGTGTTAAGAAAATCGTCGCTTGCGGCGGGCTTCTTCAGAGCTTCGCAGACTGCCGACGACCCAGCCGCCTCACTCTTATCCGCAGCTGCGGAGTGCTACAGTACTTATCATCTCCACTTCTGAAAGAGCGCGTTCTGTGGTCGCTTGGAGGGCGGGGGGGTTGGAACCGGACCCCCCCCCTCCCGTTTTTCTCCTCTCTCCCTCTCCTCGGGCCGGCGCCCGCGTCGGCGGCGGCTGGCGGCGGCGGCGGGTGTGCTGGTGGTGGTGGTAGTGGCTCTGGTGGTGAGGTGGTTTGTGGTGGTTGTGGTGGTGGTGGGTTGTGCTGCTGGTAGTGGGGGTGGTTATGACGGTGAATGTAATAATGTGATAAATTGTGGTGGTGGTGGTAGTAGTGGTGGTGGGTTGTTGTATTGGTGGTGGTGGTGGTGGTGTTGGTGGTGATGGTCAGCTGTTCTGGTGGTGGTGGTGGTTGTTGTGGTGGTGGTTGTGTGGCGGTTTGGTGGTGGTGGTGGTGGCTTGAGGTGGTGATGGTGGTGGTCGTGGTGGTGGCAGTGGTGGTGGTGGGCTGTGGTGTTGGTGGTGGGTTGTGGTGCTGCTGGTAGTGGTGCTGGTAGTGGTGCTGGTGGTGGTGGTGGGTGGTGGGTGGTGGGTGGTGGGTGGTGGTGGTGGTGGTGGTTGTGGTGGTGGTGGTGGTGGTGGTGTGGTGGTTTGTGGTGGTTGTGTTGGTGGTGGGTTGTGGTGATGGTGGTGGTGGTGGCGGTGGTGCTGATGGTGGTGGTAATGGTGTGGTCGTTTGTGGTGGTGGTTGTGGTGGGTTGTGGTGGTGCTGGTGGTGGTGGCGTTTTTGGTGGTGGTGGTGGTGGTGGTGAGGTGGTTTGTGGTGATGGTGGTGGTTGTGGTGATGGTGGGTTGTGGTGGTTGTGGTGGTGGTTGTGGTGGTGGCGGTTGTGGTTGTGGTATGGTGGTTTGTGGTGGTGGTGGTGGTGGTGGTGGTGGTGGTGGTGTGGCCTCGTCAGAAGGGTCTCGGGGGCGTCTGAAGAGCATACGAGAGCTCGATATGGCGATTTGCGTGTTCCCTCTGCGGCCTCTGGTCCCTCTCTGGTCATCGTCGCTGCGTCCCCGCCGTCGGCGCTGCTGGCCGCCGCCAGTGCTGGTGCCGGCGCCGGCGCGGGGGGGGGGGGTTGAACCCCCCCTCCCCCCCTAGCCTGGGCCCTCTCTGGTCATCGTCGCTGCGTTGGCGCTGCGGCGGCCGCCAGCGCCGGCGCCGGCGCCAGGGGGGGGGTTCGGGAGGGGGGGGGTTAGGGAGGAGGGGAGTCCCCCTGGTTCTGATCGACGGCGCCGAGTGTTTGGGGGGGGCCCCCCCCCGGTTCGAAACGCGCCGCCGAATGTTCCCAAGGCAAGCGCCCGTGAAACGCGCTCTCTCCCACTTCTTGAGGAGCTCTCTTGGGGCCTATTTTGGCCAGCTCCGGGCTGTATTGTGCTCCTGTTGGGCAGTCTTGAGGACCCCTCAGGGCCCCCTTGGACCTTCTCGGGGACCTCCCTGGCCGTCTTGGGGTCCTATTGGGTCGTCATGGCACTATTTGTCGCCAGGGGTGATCTTGTACAGCAGTCATGGGCCGTCTTGCGTCTTGCACCGTCTTCGGGCCGTCTAAATCGACTTGGGTCCCTCTGGCGGCCCTCGTGGGCCAGCTTGGGGCTTTCTTGGGTCCAGGGGCCCCCATGGGGCCTCGCAGTGGGCCACATTGGGTTGGCGAAGCCCGCAATTGGGCCGAACTTCGGCCGAAGAGCGTGGAAAGCTAACGAACAAAATGAAAATATAACCATCGATACTTTCAGGAGGACCCCTCGAGAACCTCTCGAGGACCTCCGAGAGAGCGTCTCGGGGATGTCTTGGGGCTTCTTGGAGGCCTCTTGGAGGTGACCCTGGGCCATCTTGGCGGCCTTGGCGGTCTTACTTGGCTGTCTTGGAAGCCCTGGAGAGGCTTCGAGGGCCCCACGGAGGCGCCAGCGCGGCCCAGGGAGCCTCTGGAGGAGGGGCGGCGGGGCGGAGCACGCAACAGTCTGGCTGCGAGAGGGGGAGGCTCCTCGTTAGCAGAAGACCACGGGGACCCTACCCGACAGCACGTAGTACTCCACCACGCCTCAACGTGGCAGGGAGCACGGTGGCGGATAACGCGAAGGTGGCGGGACAGCACTCCCTCCCCCAGATCCGCGTCTTGCGCTTCCCGCTGGTCTCGGGGCACACTTTCCGCCACCCGTCTCTCTCGCAGGCCGACTGCGCCCGAAGCCTGATGATGGGCGTTCGGGCCGCTGCCGCTGGCACCCCGCTAGACGCCGCACGCCTGGAGGTGAACTTCGCGTACGACGGGGGCTGCTTCCTGCAGGCAGATGCCCAGCTCAGGCGCCTCGGGCTGCTGGGCACGTAGGGCGCCAGGCTCTGCACATCAGCAGGCCGCAACTGATGTGTCAACGAATCGGTCATGCTCAAGTCGGGCGTGTCCCTCCACACGGGGAGTATCCAAGAATAGTAAAAAAATAGCCTGGGGACGATTTTTTTACTATTTTTAAATATTTGTGGGTTTTCTTATTTGTCGCCCACAATCCCCCTGTAGGGGGACACGCCCGACTTGAGGTTATGCCTTGGTGCGCGGTGATCAGAGATGTATGGCCAGCGAGAGCCGAGACGAGCTGCGGGGAGGGGTCGCGAGCAAGAGCGAAGAACAGCACATCGCATTCGACACCTGAGAAAAATGAAGGACCGCGGTTCTCTGGAAGTTGCCGTGTCGGAGAGTCTCGCCTCGAGGCCCCCTGGAGGCATCGGGAGGGCGGGAGGCGCGGAGGGAGGGAGGGCGTCGAGGCCCGGCCCGAGTCGTGTTTTTTGGCTCCGCGGCCTCGCGCGAGGCTTCCCGCACGATCCCCGGCCGCGGGCCCCGGGCCGCATGCATGAGCGGAGCAGGGGCGCGCTCGTATCGGGTGCGGCCTGCGCCCCCTCTTCCCCTGACGTCCAGACGCCGGGAACAAGAAATCACGACGGGGTCTGTCGCTCCGTGTCGGGCCCCGAGCGGTCGATACACATTTTGCTCATTTCGAGTTGTTCGAGAGCTCTTTGGTTTTTTTTTGGGGGGCAAGATCCTGTCATTTCTAGTTGTTCTATCCTGGGCCTCTCCCTGGCCACTAGGGGGCCAGGAACAATTAGAAACGAGCACAATTAGAAATGAGCACGATTAGAAATGAACGAAGTGTACGACCAGAGAGACCCCGCAGAGCGATCGGGTGGAGAGCTCTGGTTGTGGACTGCTCAGGACGTCGTAGTTTTTGTTTCCGAGCTTCGGGTGTCAGGGTGCTCCTCCCTCTCCTCCCCCTCCTCCCCCTCCTCCCCCTCTCCCTCCCCTCTTGCAGCCAGCATCACGAAGTGTGGGAACGCGAGGCAATGGGTTTCGGTATTGAAACTGCTCCGCGACGCGTCACAGCCTGGCTCGCGTGTTGAAATCACCGTCTTCACCGCGGCCATCAGCGCCTGCGGAAAGGGCATGCAGTGGCAACAGGCGCTATCGCTGTTGAGAAGCATGGCGGCGGAGAAGGTGGAGCCGAACGTCTTCAGCTACGGCGCTGGGATTAGCGCGTGCGAGAAAGGCATGCAGTGGCGGCGAGCGCTGTCGCTGCTCAGCGAGCTGTGGGAGGTGAGGCTGGAGCCAAATACCATCTGTGCTAAGACGCGCGCGGCAGCGCGTGCGAGGACGGGTTGCATCCCCGTGGCCTCGGCAGGTGCGGATCGCGGGGTGTCTGCGCGGGGCCCCCTCGAGGGACTCGCGGGTCGCGGGGTTGG